TGACAGGCCTTAAACTTAATATTTTTAGTCTGATATTAAACTTACAATCTTTCCTTCTAAACCATATCCTTCTTCTCTATTTCCAGTATCAGTTAAAGGTAAAGGCTATCACTGAGATCAGATATCTGGAGCATCCTAGACCTATAACTTGAACTGCCCCTGCCCCATTGTCAGTCAATCTGCAAATCTTGACTACTTTACCATCCAACTATTTTCTCCATAGTGTCCTCTTCTCTCTATCCTGAAATCACTGTCCTATCTGATTTTTGTCTTCACTTTCACGGATCATTGCAATATCTCACATGTACCCAGGTGTTGAGTTGGCTCTTTCCTTCACCAGCCACATCCAAAGGGTCACCAGTTAATTTTTCCTTCATTGTGCCTATTATAACTATCCTTCCTTTTCTTCCCTCCAGGTGTTCCAGAGTTATCTCTAGCCATCCTCTTCATATAAACCTCACCTACAGACTAATTTTCTTGTCCCCAAGATGACTCTCCAACCTGGTGCCTTTCCTTTTTGCCTGCTTTTATCATCTCATTTGCCTCTGCCTATTAAAATCCCACCATAATATCAAAATTCAGCTTAAATCCTACCAGTGCTGTGAAGAACACACTGAAAATCCAAACTAGAAATGATCTGTCCCTCTTTTAAATTCCTGTACTTCCTGTCAATTCCAATGGTTCTTGGTCCTTAAAATATAAAGACTGCATTCCTAAGTCAAAAAAATATTATATAAACTTTTTCCTTCTGCAGGGTGAGGAGAAAAGAAACAGAGAAATTTTCCACCCTGACTAAGTGGGAAGGTAGAGATGTCACTGGAGGAAGTTGGTCTTGTTTATGGGAAAGGGGCTGTGGCAAAGCAGCATGTCCCAGCATGGGCCAGAGCACACCAGTCATGTGACAGCCATAGCTCTACTCTCAGAGAAGATTCCATAGTGACAGACAGTAGGGAAACTGCATACTATGTTAGTCTTTCTGAAAAGTTCCACCATTAAAAAACAAAAACAAAATTATTTCCTATTTAATGTTACTGCCCAAACTGATTTGGCCACAGAATTCCTTGCCTGCTTTTTTTCTGCCAACATCCACTAAGATCCCATGCAACTAAAGCTCTGTGGAGCATACTTTGGGAAAAGCTGAGTAAGAGCAAAATCAAAATGCTGAGAAGGAAATGACTGATACTTGGAGAAAAGAAAATATATACTTTGGACATCTGAGCAAAAGAGAACTCTTTTTGGAAAGAGAACAACTGGAAATCCTACATAACACAGTGAGAAAGAGTGGAAAGAAGGAGGATGCGGTCAGGGAAACATTCCAAAGGTTTCAACCCTTTTAAGTGGTTTTCCACAGACCCTAAGTAATATAATAGAGGAAAGGAAGAAGTAGGTCAATACAGGAAAAGTGACTCTTAACATTTTTCGAACTTTCTGCTCTCAAGCCTCACTGTAACTCTGTCCCCAGCAAGATAATGTGGATATTATTGCTAAGGAACTCTAAATTGCTCCATTTTCTTCCTGACCTCTCCTATCACCTCTCAATCCTGAGGGAGAGAATCTTGGATAGCGTTTCCTCCTTGTGAAGTTCAAGTCCTGGTAGTATTTGCAGAAACAAGTAATTTTGATAACTACTAAGTGCAATCGTGTTTAGTTTGCATTGTGGTTGTCACCTTAATATCTTAAACTGCTAATACTCAATCTTGGAGTTAAATTTTGCATTAAGGCAGAAAGGTCAGAAAATATCATTTTGACGCATACTTCAAATGTATTACTATGATGAGATTTAAGACGGTGTGAATGTCATATATGATGAAACTCACTCTACAGCATGGCAGAGTGGTACTACGCTGGTGAACTCACCCTGGTGGCTCTTTTATGGACTCTGGTGGGTAAGAACTCCTGGGAGCTGTGTGGTCGTGTTACTCACAGGCTTGAACAAAAACGTAACACGCTTTTCTCATATGCTTGAAATATTTCATAACAAGGAAAACAAAAACTATTCTATTTAGCCCAAATGAGGTTAGTGAGCAGATGCCAGAAGTGTTCCAAAACCATGTGTGCAGTACAGAACTGGCAGCATCCTATGTAATGTGAGAGCTTCAACTGCTCCCAGTGAAAACAGACAAAGTCAGGAACACCAGTCCTCAATGAGAACCCAACTGAGCATCAGCCTTCCTCACTAATCTTGCTGCCATTTAGTATTTTCCAGCCAAAAATTAAGTCAGCTGAATTTCAGAATGACAGCTCTCAGGTATAAATTGATGGTAAAAGTAACAGTAAAATAGTAGTTCCATAAGTTGAAGCCTTCCTGCAGTGTATGAAATTTTATTTTATTTATTTCATAAATATTTTCATGGCTTTCCTCAGATGTCATTTCTATTATCTTCACAATCTAAGAAGCAGTTTTAAAGTTTTAGCAGTAATATTTTAAAAGTTTTGACTTGTTCTCATTTTAATGAATTTTTAGAATCTTTTTAAGGTGGATATTCTTCAGAATATTGTGCCTTTTACTCCACCAAATTGGCAAACACTTTAAAAAATCATTGTGTCATTAGTAAGGCTCAGAGAAATAGGCACTTTCATATATTGTTGGTGGAAATATAATTTGAGACTACTTTTTAAAGTCAGTTTGGAGAAACGCACACATATGTCCATGCATATATATGGTATATATATGTATAGGAATATATATATATATACATATATATACATACATGCATTCACACATACGTAGTTTAGACAATTTCCTAGGACTTTTCTTACAGAAATATTAGAAAATGTTCATAAATATTTATTTATAAGGATGTTCGTTGTGTTCTTGTAGGTGCTTATAGGTGAAAAAGTAGGAGCTTAAATACCTACATTTAGTGGAAAAGTTGAATAAATTACATTGCAGTCATAAATGGCCTACCATGTACACATCAAATCAGTTGTGGAAGAATATCAAATGACATGTTAAAGTGTTGATGCTATATTGAAAAACCATGTTACACGATACTACACACAATATAATAATGCCATGTTTATGTCCAAAAAAAATACTAAAAGAGTATCTGCCTAAATGTTACCAGTGATTATTCTTGGGTGATAAATTTATGAGTGGATTTTTATTTTTTCTTACAATTCTCTCTGTTTTCCAAGTTTTCTTCAATGAATGTGTATTATCTATGTCATAAATAAGCAAAATAAATGTTACAAGTTTCTTGATGTATTTGTATCCTTTGATTCAGTAATTCTATTTTTAGGACTATATCCTAACCTAAGGAAATAAACAGATACACACCTAAACATGTATTTACAACTATGTTCTTTTCTAACTTCTTTACGATAATAAAATACTAGAAGCAACTCAAATGCCTAGCAATAGTGAGTTGGTTTTTAAAGATTACAGTGCATCCATACAATGGAATATTGCACAATCTTTAAAATATGATTCTTGAAAATATTTAAGAACGAGGGAAAAGACTTAGAATATATTAAACAAAAAAGGTTTATAAGGGTCAGCCCGTGGCTCAATTGGGAGAGCGTGGTGCTGACAACACCAAGTCAAGGGTTAAGATCCCCTTACCAGTCATCTTGTAAAAAAAAAAAAAAAAAAAGGCTTACAGATAGATAGATAGACGTAATGCAATTACAATTTTGATTGCCTAGAAAAATATAAAATACACATTAACATGTTAACAGGGATTACCACTGGGCAGTGAAATTATTTACAGTTTCTTTTGATTTTCCTTTTTTTTAATTCCTATGCTTTCAACAGTGTAATTTTTATGAACAGAAAAAAATATTTTAACTGTAAAGAAGCTTGTTTTATTGCTGGAAATAATAAGATATAGGAACTACATGAGCATGATCCCTCCAAATATTTTCTTCAAACTATCATTTCTACTCAACTTATCAGTGTTATCACACAGTAATATAGGAATAGTTAAACATTTCTGCTTAGTCGCTGGGTCTCTCTGACAAACAATAGGAAGAATTTTGGCCAAAGGTTTCCTTTGCTCTGTAAGATGCTTAAAACAACAGAGAAAAAAGGATATTCAGTGGGCTGGCCCCATACTCACATTTCTAAATTGTGATACTCGGCTTTCTTGATTATATACCTCTCAGAATCTAAGAAGGCAAAGGTCTAAGCAGTTTCAAGTCCAGTGACAAGGGTTACATCCACAGTGTGATAGTTTTTAGAATTCAGTGAGAGTTGATGCCTTTAACACAGCCCTGGTAATAGCCACTGATTGATATAAATGTTATATATATGGCATATACTTACACATATGACATATATACATGCACATATATGCTTAAAGGACTGTGGGGAGGGAAAAATATTTGTATGTGCTTAATTACTTAGTATATTTTACATTGCTTAGCATTACCATGCATACTGCATGATGGGCAACAAGCCCCAAAATGTATCCATGCTCTGCCACTGATGTGTAAAACATGGTTCTGGCCATAGGAGATAAGAATACACAGTCCTGCCTTCTTTCCTGGATGAAGACACAAAAACAATTCTGTGGATCTCACATAATTTATCAATGTCTCTCCTCCCCAATAAAATCGACAAAATAATAATTAACATTTACAGATTTTTCACTTAAATTTAGCGTAATATCACTTTTAAAACTTCACTATAAAATAGTTGCCATATAGTTCAAGAATATCTCTAGCGAAATTTACCAAACACTTGTAGTTTTAAAATCTGAGACAGTTCATGTACATATTAAGGATAGGGTGATATGACTTCTCCTGATGAATAAAAGACTTACACTGATTTTTGACTCCATGCAGCTCACTTACTACTTTCACGTGTTATGATAAGCCTGGAAAATACAACAGGGCAAGAATTTTTGCTTCCCACATGAACAGGCAGAATTGAAAACAAGGGCAGATAAAGATCAGACCAACAAAATAATGGAAAGGTGGAAAGTGAAAAAGAAAGGGAAAGAAATGGAAATCAGATATGTGAGCTTAGGGGAAGTAAAGCAAAAGTTAAAACGTACTTGACTTGTCCGTTCTCCGTGTAGGTGGTTCTGTAGAACCCCACGAGGGACGTGTTGAGCCAGCCGGCGAACTCCATGGTCAGGAGGTAGAGACCATCACCACCGCTGGGTGGAAGCTCTCCTTCTGCTTCGACCACCACGTACTCGTGCTCTTCGTACCCGAAACACCTGCTGACTGGCACCTCCTCCCCGGAGGGCCCCTTGAGCACCGGGAGCCGCGTGATCCTCGTCTCCCGGATGTGCAGCCACAGGTGCCGGGTGGCCGCGCTCACGTTGAGGGAGATGCTCACGGTGCCTGTGTACGTGTCCTCCTCCAGCAAGGGCTTCACCTCCAGGTCGTAGTGCACGGGGGTGATGAAGTCCGGCAGCCTGAAACTCGTCCACCCTCCGCTCTGATCTGCACTGGCAGGGCAGACGTCCTGGTCCTGCGCAGGCACATCCGCAGGGCCGGCCGTGGGAGGCAGCTGGGACGCCGCCGGAGCCGCGCTCTGCCCCGCGTCTGTGCTGCAGTCACACGATCTGCTCAAGCCCACGGCAAGTCCTACTATTAATCCTACGCCCACCACCACCGCACAGATGATGGCCACATGTTTCGTTTTAATGCAGTATCTCTTAGAGCTCTCTTTCTCCGCAAAGTTCATTTTTGTGTCCAAAGTCAAATGTTGCACAGAAAAGGATGTCACATTGAACTGACGGACGTCAGCCGACTTCCTTTTTAAACTGGAAGGAATCCCCTGGTTTAGCAGCCTGTTTTCGCTTTTCCCACACCTCTCTCGGGCTTCCTGCGTCTTTTCCTCTCCCTTCAAGTTCCCACCGGCCACTCAAGGATGAAGGCGGAAGCAAGCGGAGTGGGAAAAGGACTCCAGAAGAGGAGCTGAGCTGGAGGAAGAGGACTGGCGAGAACACTGTCACAGCTCCCCTTATAAACGGCGCGTCTCCACCCCTACCCCTCCTGCACTGGAGCAAGTTAAATATAAAACAGGGCTTCGCTTATCAGCCAGCTGGAGGACGATCCCTTGCCAAAGCTCTGTCAGCAGCTTTCAGGGAGAAAACGTTCGAGTAAGAGGTGTGCTTATGGTAGAAAAACTCAACCTTTGCCACTAGGTCTATGGCTTCTTCCTGTTTTGTTCACAGTCTCTGTCTTGTAAAGTAAAAGGGCTTCTTGAATTACAGCTATTTTATCAGGTGGCTTGCCAAAGAAGCAAAGTGTTTGCTTTTCATCCCTTTTCCTCATATTATGTAAACATTCAAGTTCTGCACTTTGGAGAAGTCGTGTCCTGGAGTTGGGAGCTCAGAGTGATCCATAAATTCAAGGACCACTTAGGTATTCAGTAAATGTTTGTTGGGTTGGAGGATTAATAAAGCATAGCCAGATAACCTTAAATCAGTTCAGTTGATGCTGGATGGAAAAGAGCAGCCAAAACAGCAGTGGAGCCGGAAAGCATAAGAAAAAAAGGGAGAGAGAAAGGGAAAGGCTTGAATGGACAGAGGACAAGGTGCCCTACTTATCCCTGCAGTTTGCCTCCAAGGAAGATTGATTTCTACAGACTTTGATGTGGCAGATTAGGTTTGGAGCAGATTCCAAATGCAAAACAGAATAGCCTGTTGGGAGATCCATTATCAATGCAAACGTATTGCTTCTGAATGACAAGGCTGGGGGCGGGGGGGGGGGGGGGGGGGGGCACAATGACACCTTTTTTTATTTGTGAGTGG